GTGATTTTAATTTGCATATCCCTGGTGGTAATGATGTTGAATACCTTTTCATATGCTTACTTGCCATCTGTATACTTTCTTCAGTGAAATGACTGATGGTTCATGTTTTTGCATATTTGTAGCTGGATTGCTTTTTCTTTTAAATGTATTTTGTTTGTTTTTGCTTTTTGTGCTCCTTATATATTTTAGATACTAGACCTTTGTCAAATATATGCTTTGCAAATGTTTGCTCTCAGCATATCTTTTCATCTTCTTAACAGGGTCTTTCACAAAGCTAAACTTCTTTGATGAAGTCAAATTTACAAAAATTTTAATTATGTGAGTTGTACTTTTGATGTCAAGGACTCTTTGCCTCCCTGTAGATTCTACAGATTATCTCCTTTCTTTCTAAGAGGTTTATAGTTTTAGATCCTGCATTTAACTCTGTAATCCATTTTGAGTGAGTTCTTCTATAAAGTGTGAGGTTTAAGTTAAAGTTTCATTTTCTTTTGCCTAGCAATGACCCATTGCTGAAATGGTCATCTATCCTCTAATGAATTGCTTTTGCACTTTTTCAAAAATAAGTAGTCCATACTTGTGTGGAGTTATTTCTGGGTCTTCTAGTATGTTAAATGAATCTTGGTACCTGTAAATACATAATAAGCCTTGATATTGGTTAGACTATTCCACCCACTTTATTAATTTTCAAAATTGTTGTAGCAATTTGAAATCCTTTTTTCCATATAAATTTTAAAATAATATTGTCTTTATCTACAAAAATTATTGCTGAGATTTGTACAGGAATTGTGTTAAATTTGTTTATCAATTTGAAGAGAATTGACATCTTTTTTTTTTTTGAGACAGAGTCTCACTCTGTTGCCTGGGCTAGAGTGCTGTGGCGTCAGCCTAGCTCACAGCAACCTCAAACTCCCTGGCTCAAGCAATCCTACTGCATCAGCCTCTTGAGTAGCTGGCACTATAGGCATGGGCCACCATGCCCAGCTAATATCTCTTTTTTCTATGCATTTTTAATTGTCTATCTAATTTCTTTCTAATTTTTTAGTAGAGACCGGGTCTCGCTCTTGCTCAGGCTGGTCTCAAACTACTGAGCTCAAATGATCCTCCTGCCTCGGCCTCCCAGAGTGCTAGGATTACAAATATGAGCCACCACGCCCGGCCAAGAATTGACATCTTTATTACACTGAGTCATCTAATCCATGAACAGAGTGAGTCCATTCATTTACCTTTTCTTGATTTCTTTCATCAGTGTATTATAATTGTCAGTGTGCAAATCCTGTACATATTTTGTTACAATTATATTAATATCTAAATATTTCATTTTGTTTTGAGTGATTTAAAATGTTACTGTATCTTTAATTTCAGTGACCATGTGTTCATGTCTAGAAAAGTAATTTTTTTAAGGTTATATAATGTTCTGCATATCTTCTAATGTTACTGAATGTAGCTATTCATTCTAAGAGGATTGTTTTTTGGTAGTTTCCTTGCAGTCTACAAAATCTATGTCTGCAAATAGAAACAGTTTTTTATTTTAAATCTTGTTTGAATCATTTTTTATCTGATCACACCGGCTAAAACTTTAGTTAAATGTTGAATAAGAGTGGAAAGAGTAGATATCTTTGCCTTGTTTCTGATTTTAGAGAATACAAATTATCTATTTTTATTGTTGTTGCTTGGTTTTGGTGTCATATTTTAAAAACAATTACCGAATCTAAGGTTGCAAGAATTAATTCCTGCATTTTCTTCTAAAATGTTATGGTTTTAGCATTTACATGTGGGTTTCTGATCTGTTATGAGCTAATTTTTGTATAGACATGAAATATGGGTCGAATTTCATTCTTTACTATGTGAATATGCATTTCATTTGTCCCAGAATTATTTTTTGAAAAGACTCTGCTTTCCCCCGATCAGGTTGTCATGACACTCTTGTCTAAAATGAATTGATTGTAAATGTAAGGGTTTATTTCTGAATTCTCAATCTTATTCCATAGATCTTTATGCCTGTCCTTACCCTATCACATACTTTTTTGATTATTGTAGCTTTGTAATAAGTTTTGAAATCATGAAATGTGAATGATCAAGATTGTTTGGGCTATTCTGCATCCTTTGCAGTTTCACATGAATTTTACAATCAGCCTGTTAATTTCTGAATACAAGGCTGGAATTTTGATAGGGTTTGTGTTGAATCTGTAGGTCAATTTGTAGAGTCTTTCAATCTCAACAATATTAAGTCTTCCAATTCATGGAAATGGGAGGCTTTTTCATTTATTTAGATATTCTTTAACTTCTTTCAGTAATGCTAACTTTTATTAATGTTATCAACTAATTTTTTCAAAATGCTGTCAGTATCAAATTTTTAAGGTTTCGTGTCCTAATATACATTCACTTTGTTCATGTAACCTGAACAAATGAAAACAATTTGTTCTCTATACAATTAAAGAAATTATGTTGTATTTGCTCAGATTTATTGATTACTTCAGATTCTCTACATTTTAATATGATTTGTCTACACAAAATACAACAGAATATTGGTTTCTCAATACTCTGACCCCAACCAATCTTTAAAACACATTTCTAAATATCTCTTGCATTTATCTTACCTTCTAAGTCAATCCACTGAAAATGTATTTATTTACTTCAATTTTTTTGCAAATTTATTTCTTTGCAAAAGTAAAAGTATGTGTTTGTGATGCTAGTTGTATCTTCCATCTCTTCATAGCCACACAAAGATGCCATCTACTTCATGAATATTTTGCTTAGTAACCTAGATAGATATTGTCTTTTAAAAATTTATAAAGCAATTACATTCTCAAATATAATATTTTCTATTATGTTTTAGTTTCCTAATTTATATCAATTTCTTTTACATTTTTACTTGTTAGAATGAAGGCTTTTAGGAATCAGGATAATATTATATATGTAGCCTTAGAAATAAGACATGCAATAAATGTTTCCTGAATGATTAGATGGATTTATTAATGAATGAATGAAATATAAGTAAATAAATACTTTTTTATCTATTTTAAAGAAACATTTATTTCTAATTTTTATGTTCCCCAGTATCTCCTAATAGCATTCTTTGCATATAATTAACATATATTAAATTACTAATTTAAAAAAGAAACTATTTTACAATGTATATATTGAAAATTACATTTGTTGGTAATTGCCACACATATTTGCCTTTTTTATATTTTGAGAGATGACTGGAAACAGGCATTGATACTGAAGTAATTTAAACCAAATTATTTTCTGATATCAAACACTTATGTTTGGGATAAAATAGCTAATATACTAAAAACTTCAGTCTTGTAATTTGCATACCCAACTCATACTGACTATAATCAATGTTATGGTTTCTTAAAAAAGAACATTCATATTCTATAGCCTGAAATACAACAACCATTTTATTTTTATTATGAATATGCATAATAAAGGCAAGGACAATTATTTTGACAGGATTTTTGGTATATGAAGTATCAGAAGAGGAATGTGAATGAAAAAACATCATCTGTCATATCCATGGCCAAATGTCATCAAAAAGGACTTGGATTCTGCTAAAAAGACACTACCAGCTGAGTGTGGTGGCTTACACCTATAATCCTAGCACTCTGACAGGATCAGGTGGGAGGATCATGTGAGGTTAGGAGTTTCAGATCAGCCAAAGCAAGAGTGAGATCCCATTTCTACTAAAAATAGAAATATTTAGCTGGGTTTGGTGGCACAGGCCTATAGTTCAAACTACCTGGGAGGCTGAGGCAGAGGATTGTTTGAGCTCAGGAGTCTGAGGTTGATGTGAGCCAGGCTGATGCCATTGTACTCTATCCAAGGTGACAGAGTGAGACTGTGTCTCAAAATAAAATAAAATAATATGTTGACTGGATTAGTAATAAAATAAATACACTGAATTATTGCTTGGGTATAACTGATACTATTAACTGAAAATTTGCTGAAATACACTTGTAACTATAGTCTAAATTATGGCAATATAGCTCCTTTTGTCAATATTCTTTCTTCTCTACTAGAATTTTCCCTTTGAATCAAATTTGTAAGAGGGTTACAACAGAGCTTTTCTATATTTATCCTAATGGTAGGTATTTTCTGGAAAGCATCCCCATGCTAGTATTTGTTCCGATAGTTGATTTCTACAACAGGACACACATGCATCAAGTCCTTCAGGACCCTGGCCCCCATAATTTGAAGATGTTTGTAAAACATCCTCTATCCTTAGAATAACATCATACATATATTGCATAAAAAAGTAAATGATATTCAAACTCCCACCAAGAAGTGGTTATTGAAAATATGTGTAATATATTATGTATTTTTAAATCAATAAATTATTATATATTTACTATGAATAATGGCTTAGTTATAACAGGATTTTAAACACTCTGTATCAGAATTAAATGGAATCATGCGCCTAGAGATATTAAGATATATTTCCCAAATATAGATTTAGATAAAATCCATTTGGGAAACATGGGGTTAAACCAAATGAGCAGGCTTCTTGTCTATGGATTTCAAAATAGTTCATATTACATCCTAATATTTATTGTGAATCCCTAAAAGGGAATTGTCCATACTTATTTTACTGCAGAGTCATACTTCTAATGTACTCTTATTACTGTCTCATGTGTGTTCTTTGGAAAGTAATTTATGGAACATTTTTCAGAATTTTATACCAATTATGCAGTGTCCAAATTCTGGTGGTTAATTATCCTTGTTTTGTTCCATAATAAAATTCAAATAGGCATCTCTGACCTTCATGGAATAGTCACAAAGAAAACAGGTAAAGAAAAAAAATGATCAATGCAAATACAAGTTCCACAATTGGGAAAACAAATAAAACAATGCATGCCTATGATTTTAAGAAAGGAATAAATCTTATACTCAAAAGACATTTGTATTAATTCACTTTTTATTTTAATTTTTGTTCTTATTAAATTTTATTATAATGGAAAATTTATTCATACACAAAAGTGAAAAATAATGAACCCTTTCAATGCATGCACCTATCACAATTCACCACTCTTAAGGCTTGTGGAGAAGTCAGCTCAACACACACCACCTTGGCTGAGAAGGAGACAGTGGCAGTCCATGGAGGGCAACAGGGTGTTGTTATCCTCCTCAAAGAAAGAAAAGGAATTATGAATGAGCAGGAAAAATATTGTTTTTTCATGATAATTATTTTGCGTAGATCTAAAATAACTAGAAGATACATAAAATAAACAACCCTTCTAAATTGACTGAGTTACAGCACACACCCACACATATACACACACATCCCAAAACACAGGAAAGAACAGCCTAAAGTTTTTATGTACAAAACAATCCCAGAAAAGTAATAACAAATTAAACAACTGGTATAAACACAAAGTAAACAATTAAAAACAAACAAAAATAATAAATATGGCAACAAATGGTACCAATTTATCTACTTAAATAAAAATAAATTAGATTTGGTTTTATTTAACCAATCAACCAACTGACTGGCAAAGACACAATTTTGTGCAAGGGATATAGCTAAACAGAGTGTCTCTAAAATTTGTAAAGTAAAAGAAAAACTTGAAGCATATTAACCAAATACTATGGCTGTGTTATTTATATCAGATAAAGATAATTCATTCTATAAGTATGGTGAAAGGTACATTTCATTAAAGATAGTCAATCAAAATAATATTACACAAACAGAACTACTGTACTTAATAAATAAGAAAATATTATTAAAAACAAAATTTCCAAAGTACACATTATGTGAATGGAGAGGAGATATCAACAGATACACAATAATAGTATTTTTATTCATATAATCATGACAGATAAAATAGACAGATCATATTAAAATGTAAAGAATCCAAAGTATATAATCAATAAATTTGACCAAATACAACATAATTTCTTTAACTTCATAAAGACCAAATTGCTTTCATTTGTTCAAGCTGCATGTACAGAGTGATTGCATATTAATACACAAAACATTAAAAAAGAATAAAATTTTAAATACTGATGATATTTTGAGAAAATTAGTTGATAACATTAAAAGTGAAAATATAGAAATAAAAACCTTAAACAATTAGAATTAACAAAAATAAACTTCTTTAAAATCCTTAAATCATTAAAGGAACTCAAATTCAGTCAGAGATGGTTAATAAATAATATTGATGGAGAGATAACACATCAAATTTTATGGTGTAGTGATAGAGATTATTGCAGAAAATTTATTATTAGACTTAGATAAACATGCAATAGTAAATATAAAAAAGAAATTAATTTAGTTCAGAATTTACATTAAGAAGTTAAACTAGATAAATAATTTAAACTAAGAATCAGAGAGAGAAATAATAAAGATAAAATAAGTAAAAGCAAAACACAAAATTGGTAAATTGATCCATAAAATAATTCACAGAAATGAAAGAAGATAAATCTTTAACCAATTTATGTAAGACAAAAAGGATAAGTTACTAAAAAAAAAAAAAGAATTTGTGATTTGGAGGAGAATAACAACAGATATAGAAGATATTCTAAAAATTTTTTTTAATTTTAAAAATTTAAAAGTGTGTCTGCCAAGATCCACTCAAATATATCTGAAAATGTGAATTAAATGAATAATTTTAGGGAGACTGTAAATATTGTAAAGAAAACTAAAAGTTCTTGAAAGAATTTCTTCTCGCTGGAAACACACACACACACACACACACACACAAACCGAAGCCAATACAGCAGGTAAACACAAAAACACACACACACCAATCCCTGGTAGGCTATTGGTTAATGGTGATTTTTTTCAATTTTTTCTAATCTTCAAGATTATAGACTCCTAATACTAATTTAATGTCTGCAGAAACAAAATAAGCAGAAACTCTTCTCAATTTATTTTTGTAAGGACCACATAAAATTTTCACCAAAACTAAAAAAGATAAAATGAATAATCAAACAAAAATACTTCAGTTTCACTAATGAGTACATATGACAAAACGTTAAGTTACATATTTTTAAAAATCAATAGCATGCTGTAAGCATAATTAGCACTGCTCAATGTTGCTCACCCAAGAATGGAAGAATAATCACACATTAGGCTGTATCTGAATAGTTAACTTCATTATTAGGTCAAAGGAGAAAGAAATAGATGATTATTTCCACAGATAATAGCAATGTTATTTTCAAAATCCAATATCCACAAACCATTAGACCACTTAATATGTGGTTACCTTCATAGCATATGTTTGGTAAACATAATAATGGTGCCCCAAATATATTTGGGTTCCTTTATGGATCTAAGAATGTTTAAAGGGAGTGTTTCTTAAAATTTTTCAGTGGTTTAAGGAATTTTTATTTCTATATTTTCACTAATTTCTACTGCTAACTAACTCTGTCAAACTATCCCAATCTCCAAAACCTGAAACTGTTACCTTACTTGGCAAAGGTGACTTTACAGATGAGATTAAATTAAGGACTTTGAGATGAAGAGATTGTCTTGGATTATCCAGGGGAGCCCAATGCAATACCAGTTTCTTGTGATAGGAAGGTAGGAGTCAGAGTCAGAGAGTGTGTGATGAGAGGAGCAGAGCTCAGAGCTATATGAGGCAGCAGTCATGGACCAAGTGGTACAGGCAGCCTTCTGAAGCTGGAAAGACAAGGAAATTAATCTATACTAGAGCATCCCTGTTGGTACCTTGACTTTGGGAATCACTTTCAAGAACTGTAAAATAATCAATTTGTGTTGCTTTAACCATATTAGTGGCAATTTGTCACAGCAGCAATATGAAACTAAAATAGATTTATATATGTAAACATGTATTCATAAATACATAATGTTTTATACATATTAATTTATGTATAGACATTTTGCATAAACACACATGCATTTAATTATATATACATCCATATACATGCATAAATCCAACATTGTGATTAATAATGAATATTAAAAGAATTCTTAATTATTAAAAATAATAATTGCATATTCTTTCTCACTTAGTTAACACTTTTTTAGAAATAGTATCTAAAGCAATCACATAAAGGAAAAAGTCCCATAAAGATTGGGAAATAAAAAAAATAATCATCTTATGTAGAAACTGTGTTTTTATATACAATATAACATTAAAAAATAGTCAATAGCCATTAGAAACAATGAATAATTTGGTAAGGTATCTGATTATTATGTTAATACAGAATAAGCAATAATATTCTATTACAAAATATAAACAGTTCCTAAACACAGGATTATAGATATGGTCACAGAGCATTGACATTAATACTAATGTGGGAATAAAACTAACAAGGAATATGCAGGATCCATCTGTAACATTAAAACTTCATTAAGATATCTAAAAGAATTAAATAAATGAAATTAGAGATCTTCTTCTTGAATGTGAAGACTCAGCATTATAAAGATGTCAAATTTCCCTAACTTAGCCCACATGATCCTAAAAAATTTCCACAGGTTTTGTTGTTGTTAGAAACTAGCAAAATATGTAGTAATGATACTTAAATACCTTTGGATTATATACTTTATTTTTAAGAGACAGGGTACCTCTCTGTTACCCTGGTTACTAAAACCTATATTCAATCATGACCAACATTAAGTGAAACGCAGATGGCAAAACTTCCTTATTCGACATAGAGGAAGAAGAGGAGCTAGTTATGAGTAAATATTAATGGAATGTGAACAAATGTTCTACCTTATCTAGTCTGGGATGATTAGGGAGTGAACATGCATTCTTTATGCTCTCTCTTCCCCTGTATTCTGATGAGATATATTCATGTTAGAGTGACTTTGGAGGACATGTTTTAAAGGAAACAAAATCAGCCAGTTCCAACATTATGTTCTTTCTTTTCTGCCATAACACCTGTACAATATGTTCCTTCACATATTCTCAAGTCTCTGTCAACACAAAGGAAAAAAAATCTTGTAGTTCTTTCCGTGTTTAGTCTAGCTCTTCTTAAGTCCAATCCTATCTTTATCCTAATGGGTATGTTGGGACCAGACTTGTTAGACTGAAGGGAAAGAGTACAGATGCGAAAGAAAACCAGGATCCATGAACATATTAGTTTCCTAGGGTTGCTGTAACAAATTACCATAAATTGGATGGCTTAAAGCATTAGAAATTTATTCACTCACAATTCTAGAGGCCAGAAGTCAGAAATTTGTGTTATATTGGCAAAGCCATGCTTCCTCTGAATGTTTTTCTCCTCTTCTTATAAAGACACCATTCATATTGGATTAGAGTCTACCCTGTTTTAGTATGATTGCATCTTAACTTGATTACATTTGCAAAAACCCTATCTTAAAATGAGGTCACATTCATAGGTACTGGGGATTAAGACTTCAATATATCCTTCTAAGTGTCACAATTTAACCCATAACACCAAACAACGTAACTTCTTCAGGTGTGGTCACTACCAGTTATTCTAGCAAGAAGGGGATAACCTCCTTAGACATAGAAGGAAAGTTTAGTACAGCTAGAAAAGAAAGATCAATGAGATGGAAGGTTAAACATATCGAGACTCATCTGAACTCATGAGCATGTCCCTATTCCAATTTTCAAGGTCTTATTTGTTTTCCAATCTATACCCTAACTTAGTATTCAGTTTGAGTTGTAATTGTGTCACTCGCTAGATATCAGTGTCTTTTCTTCAAGTACATCTGCACTCTAAAAAGATACAAAAAAATTATTTTATAATAGTCATAAAAATTCTGTTTCTCTCACTGTGCTGCTAACTGATAATTCAATGGCCTTACCTTGTCATTTTCTTTCTGCATACTCTCAATTATAGTAACAAGATCAATTCATGCTCTTGTAATCAAAATTTCTACCACTAAATTCAGTTTTTCAAATCACTTTGTCTTTCTGTTGATTATCCCTTCAATTAGTACTTCATTCTAAGGAACTAGATGAAAAATTTAAGAAATTGTTTTGCCCCTGGAGTCCAGGCATTACCTAGTGATGAGATCATTACCATTAAATCTAAGCAGGACATATAATCCAACTCAGATTACTTTTTTTCAAGATCTACTTTCTAAAACATTTTTTGAATACATGACATGAATTAGGGTTCATTTATTAAGGTAAACATGATTCTATGTGTTTTAAGAAGAAATATATTTAATAATGTGGGAGTTTTTAAAGTGTTAGAAGGGTGAGAGGAATAAAGGTCAAGGAAACCTATCACTGGCCATCAGTGTTCAGAGTGTTAAGACATTGCAGAAACTGTAGAAAACCACAGGAAATGAGCACAACTGTGGGCATATTTAAAGAAGTGATTTTCAGGGAATTTGTTGGATATTGCTACAAAATCTCAATAGCCCAAATCCCCACATTTGACAGTTTATATTTTCTAAAGATGGCTGCAATAATATCTGCTATTCTCTGTCCCCTTCTGCAATGCTACTTTCCACTACTACAAAAAGATGCAGAGTTCTCTATCCACATTGTCATGGACTAAATATTTGTGTTCCCTCAAAATTTATATGCTGAAGTCCTAAACCCCATTTTGATGGTATTTGGAAGTAATTATCCATGTGATTAGGTTTAGATGAGGTCACGTGGATAGGAGCTCCATGAGGGTCTGTGCCTTATATGAAAAGGAAGTAAGAAGGTGGCTATCTACAGGCCAGGAAGAGAAACATCACCAGGAAGAGAATCTGAAGGCACCTCAATCTTGGACTTCTTAGCCCCTAGAATTATGAGAAATAAATGTGTGTTATTCAAGCTACCCATTCTACAGTGTTTTGTTATAGCAGCCCAAGCTGACTAAGACACCCAAGAATCTATCCTTTGAAGATGTTGACCAACAAAATACAACAGAAGTGAAGTTTGTACCAGTTCAAGGCATCATGTTTTCTGGTTTGCCACTTAATGGCCTCTATGGTACATATCTTTGAGATGCTTCTCAGAAACCCATGCCACACTATGAAAAACTCAAGCTATACAGAGTGAGTTCACTGGTCAGTATGTTCAACTGAGCTCTGAGATGAAAGCCAGTATCAACTAACTTCCAACCATGTGAAAGATTCATCTTAAAAACAGAACTCAGTTGAGACTTCGTGCAATTATGGACTCAGCCAACACCTGCTTACAACTGTATAAGAGACCTCAAGCAAAAACCACTTGGCTGAACCCAGTCAACTGAAAGAATTGTGAAAGATGAGATAATTTATTGTTTTAGTCCACTACATTTTGATTCTGTTGTAGATATAGAATCATGCATTGCCTCTTTACTCCTGGTGAATCAAAATGCTTATCACCTATCTTTTGCTTTCCAAATCTGTGCCAATGTTCTCACTTGCAGAATCTGACCCAAAACTATGCTTGAAGAAATCCTGGAAAGTCTAGCTACCCCATATCCAGTTGTATAAGATAAAAAATAAAATTAGAAAGTATATTAAGAAGCTAATAGAAAATCTGATAGTAAAACAACAAATGACACTATAATAATTAAAATAATTTATTACTAGAAAAATAATTAAATCACTAAAACAAAATTAAAAAGTCTAGGATCAGAACAAAATGTATTTTGAAATTAGCTAAAAGTTAAATACAAATAGGTAGGATGAAATGTTTTTTAAAGCGAACAGTTTTGGGACAACTGGCCAACAATTTGGAGAAAATATGTCTCCAACAAAGAGAACCCCAGATGGATCACTATTTTATTCTTTATATTAGAATCCATAGAATTCAAACTTGGATAAAATGTATAAATATTGAAATAAAACCATAAAAGTGAGAAAACATATGAGTGAATTCAGTATAATCCTAGAATAAGGAAGACTGTATTAACTGAGACAAAAGTCAGGAAGAATGACAAATATGACTTCTTAAGAAGTAAAAACTCTTGACTAGTACAACAAAGAAATCCACAATTTCTTTAACAAATGAGGAACTGGGAAAAATACATACAAACATATAACAAACTATTTTTCCTGACTTGAAAGTTATTTGTATAAATTAATAAGAAAAACATACAATTCAATGGAAAAATGAAAATATTAGAAAACATTTTCTAAAAATAAGTGAAAATTACTTTGTAACACACAAAAATGGATTCTCAATCTTACCAATAAGAAAAAGAATATTCATTATCTGTCTTACAATATACTTTGGGTATAGTGACAAGAATTCAATGATACATAATATAGAGTCCTTTCTCTCAAGAATACTATTAATATAAAGTAAAATGAACTGCATTTCTGTTAACTTTTTTGTATTACTTCAAAATTTAATTTACTGTGCGTTAGGTATGTTTCCCATAATCTATGACAGAAATATTTATTAATAAATAATTAATTATCCCTTTAAAGTAAAGTTGAATTCCAAGTTTATCTATAGAAGTTTTTAGGTAGAGTTAATTTTGAAAATTTTATGTTTATTTTCATTATTTATTTTTAATTATTATGTGCACATAATAGTTATATCTATTTAGATGGTACATGTGATGTCTTGATACCAGCATATTATGTGAATTAATCAAAACAGAGTCACTGAGGTATCAATCACCTCAGTTATTTATCATTTCTTTGTGTTAGTAACATTACACTATTCTAGTTATTTTAAAGTATACCATAACTTAATGTTGATTAGAGTCACTTTGTTGTGCTAGCAAATATTGTTCATTATATCTAACTATATTTTTGCACTCATTGACCATCTCACTTTATCTCACATTCGCTGTTGACCTTCCCAGCCTCAGGTAACCAGCATTCTACTGTATGGATTATCTTTGATCTAAGAATGTCACAGATTTTTCCATACTAAATTTGAAGTATTATTTCATCAGGTAGATTATTAAAAACCTATTATATGTACACAGACACTCATATACATACACACATGTGTGTATGAAGACATTAACAGAAAATGCATGTTCACCTCAACTAGACAAATGCATGTATGGCAACATTTTATTTATATGAATAAGATAGTTTTTATTCAGACTAAGCTTAATACAAACGTGATTATTTTCCATGTAGGTTTTTTTAATTCTAAAAGAAATGATCTCACAAATGCTGAATGAAAAAAATATTTAAGAATATTGCATTTAACACTATTGCATCATATGTATACTAATTTTAAAAATAAATGCTTCCAAATATCCAATGTTCAGATATGCTAAAAATGATGTCTCAATCATTTGCTACCAAATGCTCTGATTTAGTATTTTATTCAAAAAATTGTGCACTTTCTTCAATTAAAAGTTTATTTAACTCACATCTAAAAATGAAAAAAAATAAAATAATTTTTAAAACATTTTTTACACAATTTCTTATGGAAAAATTGGAAAATCATAGCATGTCTGTGATATTGGCTCAAACCACTTTTGTGTTACAAAGGAATATCAGAGTATGAGTAACTTATAAAAACAAAATATTTATTTGGCTCATAATTCTGATAGCTTCAAAGTACAAGATTGGGCATCTGCATTTGTTAGGGCCTCAGGATGTTTCCACTCATATTGGAAGGCAGAGTTGAGCGAGCTGTGCAGAGATCACAGGGTGAGAGAGGAAGCAAGAGAGAGGAGAGAGATGGGGGCTAGGGGGTGGGAGATGCCAGACTCTTTAACAATCAGCTCTCATGGAAACTAAGAGTGAGAACTCAACCCAGAGGCAGGACATTAATCTATTTGTGAGGAATCCATCCCCATGACCCCAACACTTCCAATGTTGGGGATCACATTTCAACATGAGGTTTGGTGAAGGCAAACAGCTAAACCGTAGCAGACATATTATAAATGTTTGTCATGGTAGTTTTTCCTTAAAGGTAAATTTGTTAAACAAGTGGAGAAAAAGAGAAAAATTTGTTTTACTTTTGCTTGGAAAAATCTTAAAGTTTGTCTTTAAAGGCAAGATTTGTGTACAGTTAGATACAGTATACAAATCTTGTGTACTGATTTGTGTACAGTTAGATACAGTATACAAATCTTGTCCTAACTGTGTTGCGGGAGTTACTTCAACAACTGTTCATTTTGTTTCATCTCCTGTTTACCAACTTTTTCTCTAATAATATGAGATTGAGAAATTTCTGAAGGACCTCTTTATGGTTTGTAGTTTTAAATCCTACAAATCTAATTATAAAATTCTTTTAGAATATTTAAAGCCATGATAATAGATTGCTTACATTTTTATAATATAATTTCTAAAATTTTCCTAAGAATACAGTGCCTAAAATATCAATTAATAAATACTTAATCATATTTTATTCTCTTTGTCATAATAGAGTTGTTTTTATTTAGGAAAAAAAAAACATCTTAAGTCTCATCAGTTATAATTAGCAAGAAAGAGGATTAACATAGAAATATCAAAGTGAAATAGTCCCTTCACCTTTCACCTTTTATTTCTCTACATTAATAGGTGCAGAAAAACACCTCGCCAGAATTTTAACCATTAACAAATGATGACATCCCCCATTTAGAAGGATCATAATTTTCATATGGTCCTCATTACAGAATTCCCAATTTGAAAATGTCATACAATTATTAGTTATCCATAAGAACAACCAAGAATAAATGCAGATTCTTTGTTTGATGGGTTGATATTGATACCTGCATCTTTAAGATGAAGTGTTTTAACAAAGAATTCAGGATAAAGGAAACTACATTTCAAGATGTAAAGTAGCCAAAACAAACCCCTTTTGTTACTCATTATAGGGCCTAGAAGATCCAAATGATTTTCATAAATGTTCTGAAAATAAATGTACCAGAAAGAGAAGATTTATCATCCTCGATGGTCCCCTACATTATCCTGTCTCCCCTGTTCTCTACTTGTGCCACCTCTTTCTGGCGGGTCTGAACTGGAACAGTTTGTAGCATTATTGTGGCTGACCTTCCTCCTTTGCCTAGTCATATAGCTTAATGTGATAAGGTTGAAATATTACTAGAACTTTTTGTAAGAGAAATAAAAATTATTTAAAATTTTACTAACTTAAAGATATTATCCCTTTCTGATTCTGAATATGAGACAAAACTGAGCTTTCTGTTTGTGACTCACATATCTGTGACTTGGTCGAGAAAGATATTACAACTTGTATTCACATTTTAAGTTGGGGTCAATCCTGATGTCTTTTCAGGTAGGATGATTATTCCTTTCTAGAACATATTTTCTATCCTTCTCTCAGACTATGAATCTCCTCTACTTGATTTATTCCCAGTGTTACCTCGAAGGCAAGCTAGCCTGTGTGGGCCTGTAGAATCTGAATGAACAATCCTTTTTTTCCTGGTGTTAAAAGCTTACTCCTAGGCACCTCTGGGTAGCTGAAGAAGATAGCGACTGCTTACTCCGTCTATATCAGTATTTCCTGTAAAATCAATAGAAAACAATAAGAATAAATAAAGCAACACAAAAATGCCTTTAGCATAACTTGAAGACTAAGAAGGCCCATATTTCAAAATAATTATAAGTAAAAATATGAAAAACTCCAAATTCCAAGGAGAAATCTCTTATACTCTTATAATACCACAAGACTGCGGCAAAGTAGGACAGGACCAGAAAACCTGCAAAGAACAGAGAAGAGAGGAGTGGGTGATAGGACTCAGGATGATATATGAATGAAACAACTGTTCTAAAGAGTAAATTCATGGTAATTGGGGAAATTCTTAAAAGTGACTCAGGGCACACAGATTACATTGAAGAGACTTTAAAATACATGCGACTTAAAGTCATAGACTCAGGCAAAGAAATGTACAAAAAAGAAGGGTGGGGGTGCCCTTTGACAAAGGGATGATGAAGGGAAAAAGGAGAAAAAAGGGACTTTTGGAGTCCTGGAAGACAAGGGAAACAAACCTCAGTGAGCACACAGTCCTTTTGCATGTCAAAAAGAAAACAATTCACCAAAAAATATGAACTTTGTTACACCTACAAAAGAGGATACAATTGAACTAGAAATCTGAACCATTTCAAAATCATGAAAATAAAAACGTGAAATTGAATAAATCTGTGCAGATCATCACAAAAACATCAGAAAGCAAGATTCAATACTTATTATCTGGTGAAACATTCTCTTCAGATCCCTGCAAAAAAAAAAAAAAATTACAAGCATAAAGCAGAAAAAAAAAGTACAAGACAACACACCAACTTGAATTAAACTTTAAACAAGAATTTAGGCTATTAAAAACTATCTTGAATTATAAATTTGAAATTGAAAAATAGAATAGACAAGAAAAATAGAAATGGAAAGAGTTGATTGACATCATGGAAAAAATTTTTTAAAAAAGACAATTTTTCTCAGAAATCTAGATCAAATTACATGGCTCCCAAAAGAAAGTAAACTGATATAGATGGAAGATAGATAGATAGGTAGATACATACATAGATAGAAAGAAAGAATGAATGGTGGCTTGAGGAAATGCAAGAAATAACCATGAATTTGAAATTGAGATAAAATGAGATTTTAAAAAGTATGGATTTAGTACTTATTCAACTTTTTAGCTACACCTAGATCCATTTTGATTTTCTATTTCTTCTTGAGTTATCTTGATAAGTTATATTTTTCTAGAAAATTACCCATGTCATGTAAGTTTTCAAATTAATTGCCATAAAGCTATTCATAGCATCTCTTATTATTTTAAAACTGCTCTGCTGTTTCTTTGGTTACGTATCTTTTCATTACTTTTCTCTCCTATTTCTGGATTCATAAAAATGCATTTTTGATATTATGAGTGATTTTTAAAGCCAGTATTTAGCATCTCTGTTCACCTCTCTTATAGTTTCTTTTCATATTAATTTATTATCCTATCTTTATGACTTCAGAAATAGTCTGGGAAAAAAATTGTTATCCTATCTGTATTATTATAGTTTTGTTCTACATCCTTTGCCTTTATTTTTCATTTATTTTGTTGTTGTTACTTTTATCTTAAGATGGATGCTTATTCTTTGAAGTTCAAAGCATTTCCCTTCATAATATATTTTTTCTTCTTTTTTCTTTTTTTACATTTTAATTATTATGAATACATAATAGTTATATGTATTTATAGGGTATTTATTCTATAAATTTCATTTGAAGCACTGTCATACAAGGTTGATATACAATATTTCTATAACTATTTATTATAATTTATTATTCAACTTGTTAGTTATTTGGAAATGTCTTAAAATATCCATTTTTAATTGATCTCTTAATTAATTGAACTGGGATCAGAGCATGAATTCTGCATGACTGCAAAAAAAAAAAGTTGATGTCAGCTCTGTACCTTAATTATTGGTTGATTTTCCTTAATGATATATATGTGTAGTTTCTAATAATTCAGTGTTTTTTATATATATACCTATTAATTAAACTATAATTTATACACTATTTTGTGTTTTCTGCTTGATTGGATAATTATGGAGTGAGCTTGTTGTGTTAAATTTTCAAATTCTATTATGGATTTCCACCTGTCCTTGCAATTAATTAGCAGGGAAGGATGCCAGTGTTATTTAATGCAAATAAATTTAGAATTGTCATATTATTCTAGTTAGTATTAAGTTTTATCACTATCCAGTGGCCTTCTTTATTCCTATATAGTAATTATTGCTTAGGGTTCATCTTGCCTAACAGGTTGGAAGGTTTTGATTAGAATTTGTCTGTTATATCATTTCCCAAAGTGTCATTGTTAACTTTTTCTATGTTTTTGGTTTGTCTCTTTTACATAGTATATGCCTGGATTTTGTTTCTGTAGTATTCTTTGATAATCTTTATTCTTTAGTCCTGTACAGTAATCTCCATTTTAATTATATAATTAAGTAATTAAATTAATATTTATTTTAACTGATGAACTTGAATTTTTTCTGTATGTTTTTGCCTTTTCTAGTTATATTCCATTTCCTGTTTTCATGTTTATAACATTTTCTGTCTTATTTTTGATTAACCTATTATTTTCTCTTTTCTTTTACCCACTCTTCTGATTTATCTTTGCTATTCTTTTTAAAATTATCTTTAGAAAATTTGCATTCACAGTTATGACAAAAGCCTAAGATTTATCATTATCTCCGCTGCTTTCCTGAACAGTATAAAGATCTTAGAAATATTTTAACCTTGAAAACACAACCCATTTTTGCCTCTATTGGATTCCAGAATTTTATTCTTGTTTTATAGTATAATCAAAAACTGCATCTTATTATCATTATTTTATACATTCAATGTCTGCTTAAATTGGTTTATAGATTGACCAATATCACTCTTTCTTGTATTCAATTCTTTCTGAATTTAGTTTAATCCATATAATATAAATACATTAGAATTTTTTTTTATTGAAGACCTATTAATGATAAATGTTATCAGTCCTGAGTTGTATGAAAGTACTTAAAATGTCACTCATTCTTGTTGAGAGTTGGCTAGCGGTACACAATTATAGGCTGACATTTGTATTCTTCCAAGCTTTAATATTATTCTCCCATTTCCTAGCTTCTATATTTGTCTTTAAGTCATATGATGCAAGTTTAATTTTATTTCCTTTCTTTTTAAACTGTGCTTTAAAATAATCTTTGTGGGGTTTTTTTGTCCTGCAGTTTTATTATGTTGTGTCTGAGTATGAATTTCCATTTTTCTTTCTGAGAATTTATGTTTACATTGTTCTTAATATCTGTGTGTGGTGGGGGCATCATTCATTTGGGACGAGGTTAAATTTTCAACTCTCATTTCCAAGTTTTTGTTTACGTCTACCTAGCCTTGGAGAATTTGGGGAGGGAGAGACTACCAAAGCTTGTTTGCCAGGAGGTAGATTTAGTCAATATTTTCACTAGCTTCCCACTTTCAGGTCTTATCTCTTGTCTCACAAACAATTAAAACCTAAGCCTCTTGATTACTTTAAAACACAAATGCTGTTCTTTGATATATGGCTCAAGGTATGTTCTTAGTCCCTAAAGATATCCCTTGCTTTCTTTTTAGTTCAACTATGTATTTAAACACGTTTGCTATGTTATATGTAGCATTTCTAATTTGTGTATTGAGAGGATTTTCAGGACATTTAATCTGCCATAAGGCTAGAAATAGAAATCTTCTATTTTTTATTAATTTGTTCGAACACATCTAATTGATTTACTATTATATGTTAGGACTGCTCTTGGCACTAGTATATAACAGTGATGAAAACAAACACAAATCTCTGACCTCCTGGAAATTGTATCCCACTAGGGGAAGAAGAGAATAACCAAATAAGTAAAACATATGCTATGTAAGATGGTGATATATATGGGGGGAAAAGCACACATTAAGATGATTGGCAGTGCTGGTGGAACTTACAGTGGAGGAATCAGAATGTGCAAAGGCCCTGAAGTGGGAGTGTGCCTGGCATAAGACCCAGCTAATTATCTAGCGCAAGCAAAACATGAAGTCAGAAAGGAGCTGGAGGCAGGGCGCGGTGGCTCACGCCTGTAATCCTAGCACTTTGGGAGGCCAAGGCGGGCGGATTGCTCAAGGTCAGGAGTTCGAAACCAGCCTGAGCAAGACCCCGTCTCTACCAAAAATAGAAATAAATTAATTGACCAACTAAAATATATATACAAAAAATTAGCTGGGCATGGTGGCGCATGCCTGTAGTCCCAGCTACTCGGGAGGCTGAGGCAGTAGGATCGCTGAGCCCCAGAGATTGAGGTTGCTGTGAGCCAGGCTGACGCCACGGCACTCACTCTAGCCTGGGCAACAAAGCGAGACTCTGTCTCAAAAAAAAAAAAAAAAAAGAAAGGAGCTGGGGTAAGGAGGGTTATGACTATGCATAATATTAGAGATTATTCTTAGGACTTGAACTTTTACTTTAAGATGCAGAGCCAGTCAAAGGTTTTATGCAGAGGAATGACATGATCTGACTTCAGTATTAAAAGGATCACTTTTATGAATAGCTGTGATATGACATTACATATAGATATGATATGACATGGCTTTATTTATTACTTCACTAAAGACTGGTTGGCATATGAATACAAAAAGTATGGATTTGGCAGTCACATTAATTGACTACTGTTGACAATTAAATTGGATAATTTGAGTCCCAATATAGAAATTTTAGAATAGGGTTTTCTGGATTAGGCATACATTTTCATTAACTTAACTTTGCTTTCTCTAAGCTTCTAATTTTTTTCTAGCTTTTCACAGCTATTCCCTGAGTCCTTGTTTTCCCACATTCTGCAAAATAGAGTCTAGGTCAAGTAAGAAGCTATAAAAATGCAGATCTATGTGTAAAAGTAAATCTTTACTAGACTTCAAATCCATCTCTATAAACATAACCAATTAAAATTGTTTTTCATAAACCATAGGATTTGAACTTCTTTCATAACTCTCTCTTTCTCTCATAAAATCTTTATTGTTAAATTATGTCAGAGTACAATAAGAAGCACAGTAATTCAGTGTTTGGGATAAGAAAGCTAAATGAAGAAAAATGATGTATAAGGAAGCTAGAAGATGCTGCATCATTTTAATTTGCTTTTCCAACCTTTCGCAATGACCTTTCCTTGAACATGGCAGCATATCCTAACAAATAGTGAAATTGTACTAAAGTTAGTAAAAAGGACCTACCTGTAGTTTTTAAAGTATCAAAACAAATGGCATGCTTTATTTTTATATTCATTTATCTGTGTCTAAAAATATAAGATGTTGAATATAAATTTGACCAGTATGACCTCAATAACACATTTTGTACAACCCCATTGTAAGGGATTATCTCAGATTTCTTGCTGAAGACCAAGGAGTTTGCAGAAAGTGGCTTAAATGATTATTGGAATGGGAAGAAAAAAGAATTTTAATAAATTACTGTAAGTCCAGGTAGCATTTGAAAGTACCAAACTCAGAGTCTGGAAGTAAGTAGGTGCTCAAAAGATCATGTCAACATGATTTTAACTCATTTCTCCAAGATTCAGAAAAACATCTATAACAAGGAAATATATTAATATTTTAATTTTGTGTATTACATACCTCCACACCCTGTGTTCTAAGGCTTGTAACTCATTGCTTTAGAAAATTTTGCTGTTAGCAAAGCAGAAGTTGCATCAAATACTTTCATTTCTGGGTTTTGTTTTCCTAAAGGTTGAGCCCTTGCATGGATTGTGCTAGAATTACCATAAAGAAGACAAAAGGCCAAGAAGCAGACAGGTAGAGAGGTGACGCATCTAGCCTCAAGAGTATAGGTCTTGTTTGGTGTTGAGGTGGGTGAATTGGTTTAGGCCAGGAATTCCAGACCAGGGTGGGCAACATATTGAGATACTCCCCACCGCTAAAAAGTTTAAAAAATAAAAATTAAATTAGCCAAGATGTACCTATAGTCCTACCTACTCCAGAGGCTGAGGTGGGAGGATCCTTTGAGCCCATGAGTGAGAAGCTGCTGTGCTATGCTATGAGTGTGTGCTGTGCTATGATCATGCCACTGTGCTTAAAAAGAATATGCCTTTTTCAGATGTCAGTTTTTCCTGAGGACATGGTATAGCTTTCTATTGACTTATATCTACCATCATGTCTAACAGGAATGTTTTATAGATTTTCTCAAACAAGTCTTATATATTTCTTATTAAATTCATTCCTAAGTACTTTGACATTTTAGATTGTCATTGTAAATAGAATTTCTTCCATTATATCCTCTGACTGTTTTTGAGTGTATGTAAAATTTACATATATATATGTATATATATATATATATAAACATTTGTGTTCTTTACTAACTTTTTCTTTTGTTTGTTAAAGGTTTTGTAGTCATTTTCTTGAGTTTCCACTTATATATTTATATTATATGAAATAGTGATAGTTTCACCTCCTTTTGTAAATTTTACAATTTTATTTTTCTGCTTTAATGAATTAGCTAATGCTAGCAGTATAATCTAACTAGTGGCAAAAATCTCCTATGTTTTCCTAGTTACTGTATGTTACTATATCTCCTACCCTTCATTACTTAATTTTATACAATAGTGTTATGACTCTTTTCTGTGCATTCTTTAAACTTTTACAACTATATGTATCAACCTTAATTGATATTGTTTGATTCTCAGTTAGTAAAGACTTAGAAATCAGCTATACCACTTGACTTAATATATCCTCTCTCTGTTTCCCATTTTTTGGTGGTTGTATCTTTTCTTTTTTGTCAGAACATTTGTACTTCATTATGACTCTCTTAATCTACTTTTACTTTTTCTTGTAATTCAACTTAAATACTCAAGGTTATCTTTTTGCTATAATTTCCTCAAAACATCTGTTTGGCTGAATTTTGTTTTCAACTTTTTCCTGAAGGACCTATATGAACAATATTCCCTGAGTGATTCCTGTCCATTTTCCTTTGGCTTTTTAAATTGAAGAACATTAAATAGGATGCACATTAGATGGTCCCAGTAGGATAAGGGAGAAAGAAGAGTATTGAGAGCAAGGAAACTTATAATAATAATGTGACATAAACTGTGGTTAGAACAATGTTAAATGCTACACTTGATGAACACCTAAATTTGGGCCCTGAAATTTATATCCACTAAATAGCATCATTCTAGGCAACAAATCTTTTAAGTATCCAGGGATGAAGTAAAACTGTGTGTTAATCTATTTAAAATGATTCTACTCTATGACTTGTAATTACAGGCTATTTACTTATTCAGCAATTCATTGTACAGTGACATATGCCAAGTGTGGTGCTTTGTACTAAGGTTCAGTGAGAAAAAAGACAGATAACAATCTTTGTCTTCTTGGAGCTTACAGTTTCACTGATTAGAAGTATTTGTCTTTCAGAGTCTTTCTTAACATAATTTTTAGACTTCTTCTGAGTCTGTGATAGGCACAGGATTTTAACAAAATTTGTTTATGTTTCTGAGACATCTTTCAGTTATAGAGAACGATATGCAAGTCATTCATTTGACTCTTTAAGTGCAGTGTTTGAGAAGAATAATAGTGTCAATTTCATTTATAAGGAAATATATCAGTCAATATCTAAAAAATGTTTAACGAATAATGATTAAGATCCAGAAGTAGCACGTATGTTGGCTTACCTGAATTGGCCAGAAATGGAAGCACCTCTAATTCTATATACTTTTTATATATTCCGTGTAGTAATATGCTTTTTTTCCTTCAAAAGAAAAAGGGAAAGGAACATTTGATTTTGAATGGAATTGGAGATCTGTCAACTTTGCTTTACTTGAAAATGTTCATATTTTCTTACGTACTCTTTAACAGCACTTCGTGTACATCTGTATCTTAGTTCTTTCTATGTGATACTGAAATTTTCTGTTTCTGGGCTCGACTTCCCATCTGGAATATAAGCTCTTTTTGGAGACAGATGTAGTATCCCTCCACCCTGTATCCACTCTGCTAATCACATGATCTGGCACATAGTAAGCTCTTCAGTACATGTTTGCTGCCTTGAGCTACACCTTTCTGTGCAGGATAGGAGCTGTGATCATACTAGATTTGCCATCAGAATGCTTACATAAATAATAGAATACTTCCTGTCTGGGTCTGTCTCAGTGTTTTTCTGCACTCTGCTTATATATGCAGAAGCAGGTGGCCAGACTTGCATGGTAGAGAGGGAACTAGGTCACAGAGACCACTTAGATTATATACATGTAATCTACATCTCAGCTCCAAGATATGTTGTCCCTTGGTGAGATGCTCTTGGACACCCTGCTCAGCATGTTGCACACAAGGAGTGGATTTGAACATTATTTGCCACTGATCAGTGGCTACTCTTTCCTGATTCTGAGTCTCCTAATTTTTCTGCAGTGTCAGTCTCATACAGAATGATTTCTTAAATTCCCTCCCTTGAGCTTCATACAATTTAGTCATGTCCTAAATAACCAAGAAGTGGAAAATGGATGCACAGGATTGACATTTTCTGCCAGGCGACTGGAAAGAGTATGCCGTTAAGTGAAACTGAACTCCAAGTGGGTGTCAATAATGTGAAGGAACAAGAAGCAGGAAGGCAAGGAGAGAACAAGCCCTCATCTACTCACTGTTGAAAACCAGAAGCCTATGAACCTACAAAACCCTAGGACCTGAGGGATAGAAAGGACTTCAAAAATCCACTAGTACCTTCTAGTTCCTACACAGTAATTCCTTCTGCATGGTCCAAGCAGGAGAGCATCCAGGCCTTTCTGGAACATGATCACTGAAGGAAGAAAATATAGTCTATACAGCATCTCTGATCTCCAGAATGTGACTCCAAAAACTATATATAATAACGGAGGCCAAAGAGACTAAATATATATTATTAAATTACATTCTGAAGGGTAGGAAAATCCATTTACAATAAACAGAGGTAAAATTTAATTATTGAGGCAATGACCAAACTAAATAAATCAAAATATAGACCTTTGCCTGAAATATATGGACTATTTTATACCTTTCATTATGTGAATCGATCACCATTTCTATTTGCTTTTCAAAGTAACATTAAATATGAAAACAATTCTTCCTTATTTCCAGAACTTCATCTTGTTTTTCACACTTTTTTTTTAAACTAACACTCAGTGAGAAATACATTTCCCATCACATCTCGCTACAAACACATACACAACTGAAATTAAAACAAAAGATTCCCAGAAGAATACTCACTCTTAATACTGATGCAATCTGATTGTTTCTATTATTTACTATTTTATTCTACTTTTTTGTTGTTCTATGAAATCTTCAAAACTTTAATTCTTGTTCACACCAAATGCATGTTCTAAATTGCCTATGACTCTGCTACACCTTATCTTCACTTAGGACCTAGCTGATGAAGCAGCTTCTATGTTTAACATCACTCTTTCTTGTAGCACAGGCAAACGACAGGTCATGGAAAAACAAAACCATGGTTCTTAATTTTTCTCACCAGAAATAAAACAGATAATTCCACTTACATACCATTATCCAAAGCAAGCCACACTGCTAAGTGTGATTTAATTAAGTTGGGAAAGCATAATTCATCTTCAGGGACAGATAGAAAATTTTTGTTAGAAGCAACACAACCTACCTCAGTGCTTTACATAAGTACATAAGCTCATATAAGTTTTAAAGCCCTGCTGATACAGGTATTAGTCACACTATTTAAATAATTTTAAAAAATGAGCCACATAGGCCATAGAACTGGCAAAGCCTGGATTCAGAGCAGATTTCAGATATACAAAGCCCATTTCCATAACCTATATATTTTTATCAGATCTCAATAGACTAAGCTTTCTTTTACAAAGATCTCCTAAAAACTAACAATATGGTAATGAAAACACAAACTTTATATGATTTTCTTATTATTTATATGATTTTCTTATCATTTTTAAATATTTACTGTCACAACCATTGTAAAGGATTCAGACCTACTGTTTGGAAAACACTGATCTATGGAAGTTCAAAGAAGTTCAGAATGTAGAGAAATGTCTTTGTTTTCCATAAGGACTGATTACAAGAAAATGTATATTACATTGAGAAACTAATATTACAGAGCCATGAGATACTAGGAGTGCAGGAACTAACACTGCAGTCAATTCCACAGACAAATGATAGTTAAAGCTTATCTCGGAGAAAGATTTTTCTAAATTAAAGTCAGTATTTGTCTGTAAATATGTACAATGGGAAAGTAGAATACAAGAACCCCTGCTAAAATGATTTAAATTGTTAGCAATTTTCTGTTTTCCTGCATTTTTATTGAAAGATACTTTTGAATAATAACAATTTCTAGCCCTTTTGAGCACTTACATTGGGTTAAGTCCTGTTAAGAGTTTTACCTATTTTATCTCAATCTGCACAATAACTTATAATGCAAAAACTATTGTCATCTCCATTTGACAAGTAAGAGAACAGATACGGAGAGATTAAATAATGTGCTTATGATCACTTAGCTGGTGAGTGGCAGAACTAGGGTCACATGTAGTCTCCAGGCTTCAGAGAATGTACTCTTTTATCAAATTGTGATAATACACAAAATATCATAAAATGTGCTATTTTAACCATTTCTAAGTATACGGTCAGCATTAAATACGTTCACATTGTTGTGTAACCATCACCACCATCTTTAGAAATCCTTTTATCTTCCAAAACTGAAATTCTGTATTCTTTAAGTAGTATCTCCCCACCCCCAGCCTCCTGCCCTGGCCACCACCATTCTACTTTCTGTCTCTGTGAATTGGATCTTATAGGTACCTCAAATAAATGGAATCACACAGTATTTGCTCTTTTATGACTGGCTAATTTTATTTAGTGTAATGTCTTTAAGGTTCATCCATGTTATGGCATGCATCAGAACTGCCTTCCTTTTTAAGGATGAACAATGTTCATTGCATATGTATATCACATTTTGTTTATCCTTTCATCTGTCGATGACACCAGGGTTGCTTTCACATTTTGGATATTGTGAATAATGCTGTTATGAACATGGGTGTACAAATATTTCTTTGAGCTCCTGCTGTTGACTATTTTGGGTATATACCCAGAAGTAGAATTGCTGGATCATATGGTAATTCTATTTTTTAATTTTTTTAGCATAGCATCTTTTTTCCATAGCAGATGCATAATTTTAAACTTCTACCAGTAGCGCGTAAGGGTGCCAAATTCTCCTCATACTCACCAAAACTGGTTACTTTTTAATTTTTTTCAATAATAGGCAGCCTAATGGGTACAAAGTGGTATCTCATTATGGTTTTGATTGCATTTCCCTAATGATTAGTGATGTTGAGCATCTTTTCTTGAGCATCTAATGTGTTTATGCATTTGTTGAACATCTGTGTTTATAGGTCATTTGTATATCTTCTTTGAAGAAATGTCTATTCACGTTCTTTGCCCATTTTTGAATTGGGTTATTTTGTTGTCTTATTGTTAAGTTTTAGGAGTTTTCTATATACTCTGCACATTAATCCTTTGTCAGGTATGTGATTTATAAATGTTTTCTCCTAATCTGTGGGTTACATTTTTTCTCTATAGATAGTGTCTTTTGTTGCACAATTTTAATTGTAGTGTCCAATTTATCTATTTTTTTCTTTCATTGCAACCTGTGCTTTAGGTGTCACATTTAAGAAATCATTGCCAAATCCAATGTCCTAGACATTTTTTTACTATTTCTCCTTAAACCTTTTTTCTAAGAGTTTTATAAATTTGGCTCTTGTATTTGGTCTTTGATCCATTTTGAATTAATTTTGTATATGATATTAGTTTGGGATCAACTTTATTCTTTTCATGTGGATATCCAGTTTTTCCAACACTGTTTGTTGAAGACTGTCTGTTCCCCAATAGTAGCTGATATATAAAAAGTTTCTTGGTTTTTGCATTATATATGCCATGTTATAATTTTCCATTTTTTCTACAACTGATAGTATTTTGTGATATGCCTAAAGACAAGAATTGTATCATTTTTATCTCTCTTTTCTAAGTGTCTTGAACATTGAAAAATTTTTTTGAAGTTAATGAATGAACAATTTCCAGATTCCTTTACTTGTAAGAGTCACTTATTGAAATACTACTATATGCAATTAAATATCCACTGCAATTGAGGATATGAAACATACAAAGTCCCATACTTATGGAACTTACATTCAACTGGAAACACCTTAAATTATCTTTGCTAAAATAAATCATATAAGGTCAGTCACCTACTCAATATCTATCCCCTTTTCTTCCACCTCACCAACAGAAATCTATGTTTGAGAGTACTGATTTATTCATATTAAAAACTACTTTGCTATTTCCATTGAAGATTGGGGTGAGCAATGCTATGTAAAAGGAATTTGTTGAGCGAAGCTTCCAAAAAGGCTTTTTAAAGGGAATGACCCTTTTAACCCATATTACCCTTTACCTTCCTCCTTTATTCTTCTTTCTTCCATGGAATCAAATATGATGAGTGGGCCTGCAGCCACCATTTTGCTTCCATGCGTATGGAAACCATGCTCTATGTATAGTGGAGCAGAAAGATGGAAGGGGACTGAGGCATTGGCAACACCATAGAGCCACTGCTCTTCCTGTATACTGCCTGCCTCCAGATTTAAGAGACAAGGAAATATCTTCTTATCTTGTTTAAGACACTGTTCTTCAAGTCATAGCAGTCAAATTTAATGACTAACAACCATAGAAGATAATATGCATCTATTAAAATATCTGAGAAGAAATGACAGAGGGTTGACATTGGAAACTATAATGATACTTTGAGTAAAAGATAACTTGATTGTCTTAGAGCAGGAGGGAAAGAGAAAGTATGCAGAAAGGATATTGCAGAGTGTATCTGAGGAAAAGGCCAAGAGAGAAAAAATATTAAGATCAAGGATGGAAGCAAAAAGGTTGAGAGAAAGTTGGAAACATTGTCAGGCATGAGAAAGTTGAGGGGAATTTAATTTGGTAAGACAGAAGAAAACTTATTTTGTTTAACTGTTGGTAGGAAGCCAATAAGATAACCATGTGGTGATGATGTCTTTGAGATTTTAAGACATTTAGGAGTGATGTTCACAGAGAGGTCTGGATTTGAGCTTAACATTAAACATTTGTGCACACAGACTCATAAGAACATTGAACATTACCATGGGAGAGTGAAAATACAGGAAGGACATTGAGTATTGGTCCTTGAGGAGCAAGAACCATGAAATGCAGCAGGAAAAGGAGAAGCCAGAGATGTCTTTTTCCACAGGAAAATCAGAAGAGGTAAGTGTCATTTAATGAAAGGAAGGAAAAAGGAAGGAAGGAAGGAACGTGTTATGCGTGTCTGTACTTGTCAGTAAACTTTGATGGTATTTAGATTGCAGGCTCATTGAAGGTAAAGACTAAGGCTTAAAAAATATTTTAATTACCAGATTTCTCAGCAAAATCTAGGACCTCATTTGCTCTAAAAAAATATATGCTACTTTGATTTTTGTTGATTCACCAGTGTAGGGGAAGTCTCCATGTTGTGCAGACAATGAGGCACTTTTGAGTATTTTCAGACTGCTGATGCTGAACTTTGCATATAACTTGCTCTATTCTTTGGGATACTTTAGAAGTGAAGTATAAATATTTAAAAAGGAAAGGGTTATTATTGTGTTATCTTTGATTGATATCTGAGGAAGGAAAATCTGAAGATTTAAAGATATTCTATATGTTCTGCCTTCATATCAACTGAAATAACTTCAACTCTAATCATCTCTAGTCAGTCTTTTCTAAGGTGATATCTAAAGTAAAATAGATACTACATTATTATTTTAATATATTACAAGATTCTGACAAAAAATAGCTTATCTCTCCATAGTGGTAAGAAATCAGTAAATGTTAAAATAAGCAGACTACTGTAAAAATGGACCTGGCTGTTAGCCACAGCAAGTTGCCTCAGTTTGGGTATAGGAGAAATCTTTCTCTAAAATGTTATGAATGGGAAGTAAGAATTCTCCAGCCTTGTACCATAAAGAATAACAATAGTAAAGCCCAATGTGTGTGTGTGTGTGTGTGTGTGTGTGTGTTTTATTAGTCTTAAGAATCTTGAAAACTTGAAAAATTGCACTTAACAAAGATTTGCATGATTTCTATATCATAATCCATTCTTCTTTATGAAGCTAATCTATTTTTGTACAAGGCTGCTATTCTGAGCCCCTTGGTGCTTCCTGGCATTATTATTAACAATCAGGTTATTTCTATCATTTTACATGTCTATCTTCTCCAGTATGCTTGAAGATTAGCTCTATTATTTTAATAGACAATACATAAAAACATAAAGGTTTCGTCCACACTATGAGGAGACAATTGTTTCATATCTAAATTTCTTTTTCTTTTTCTTTATTGGCTTCATCTAAGGGAAATAACTTTGGGTCTTAAATTTAAAATTTACTGAAAATATTTAGCTGAGTTATTTGTAGTTCATTCATTCCTTTTTTTAAATTTTTAAGTTTCTCTTTTACTATTTTAATTTGCTTAAAAGTACAAATGCATGTGCTTGAAAAAACTTCCTAAAAGCAGAAATAGTGTTCCCTTTTACTATCTTAATCAGGTGTCCTCAAACTATGGCCCACCGGCCACATACATTATCTAGCACATTTATCCGGCCCTCTAGGTGTTTTTGCCCCCACTGCCTGTCCTGCTTAGCAGCCAACTAGTCCCGGGCCCACAGTGCGCACTCTACAATGGTCTGAGGGACAGTGAACTAGCCCCCTGTTTAAAAAGTTTAAGGACCCCTGACCTTAATAAAGCATTTGCTCCTTTGATACAAATGATATTTATTATGCCAACAGCTGAACCAGTGGCACAAAATTGAGATGTTAGTTACTGCAGCAAGTTCCCTGTAAATCAAAACTCGAGCTTTACATAAAAATCTTATTTATAAAAAGTACAATACCAAGTACAGTGGGAATGGAGCACGGAGCAGCAGTGCTCCCTGCCAGGGCCATGTGGAAGTGGCTTTCGCTATAGTGCTTGCTTAATGGCACGAGTGAAAAGCTGAATAAGTCAAACACTTGAAGAGGCAGTATTTTTTGTAAATTTCTTGGGGGGGTGGGGAAGGATTTTCCTCTGTTGAGAGAGACACTGATTTGGGATGGCTAAGATCAGAAGGAGTGACATTTGGCTACACCTGACACATCATGTCACAGATTAAGATCGCTCCTGCTGGATGAGTCCAGTTAACTTGTTTTAGGAGAGGTTATCGCTGTAGTTTCTGCCTTTACTGTTACAACGTGCAGCATTCAGGTGGTGTCCCCCTGTGGAAGAAATCATTTCCAAAATCTTCCTAAGTGAAAAGGTACAAAATAAGCTAAGTCATTTAAAAAGTTTCCTTAGCTTAAAGCTCCTTAAGAATGCTACATTAATTACTAAGCTACTTTGTTAGCGGTATGCAGCTCGACACAAATGCTTTAACTAGAATATGTATTCCCACCCACTTGGTACCTAATAGTAATAGATTGTAATGACACTTGGAAAACAAACTGATCTTGAGAAATTTTGGCTTCTTCTCATGTCCTCACTTGGAACTTTCCAGCTCTTGTGACATATTTGACTCCTTTAAATGGCTTATATTTCTCCCCATATATGCAAAAGCGGTTTACTTCTAAGCCTGAAATACTTCCTAATTGTTTTTTATTTCAGCACATTAGAGGGGTACAAATGTTTAGGTTACGTGTATTGCCTTTGCCCCACCTGAGTCAGAGCTTCAAGTGTGTCCGTCCCCCAGATGGTGTGCACTGCACCTATTAAGTGTGTATAAACCCATGCCCTCCTCCCTCTTTTCAGCTACTCCCCTCTCCCATCTGCCCAACTGCCGATGAACGTTACAGGAATTAAAAGCCCAGGGCTAAGTTCAAATCTCTATTGTTCCAATTACTGACAGTAGGACTTTAGGCAAATGGCTATATCATCTTGCACCCCATTTTTCTTATCCACACAATACAAACTAAGCGATACCTTTTGTGAGAAACTTTTGTGAGAAACATTATATGTAAAGCCTTCTGCAAAGAGTTTCTGGATCACAGTAAGCCCTTGTAAAATATTAGCAATTATTCTTTAAACATTTCTTAGGCAATTTCTACTCATGAAAGTATATGTATATTTTGCGTTGGGAAACAGAAAGAAAAGACCAAACTTTCTGCCGGTCGTTCCCCAGGCATGATGACTATATTGTGATAGTGATGTCTCTTCTGAAATATTCCAGTTTTAAAATTCTCAGCCATATACTACCAATACTTCACAATCCAACAAAAAAACAAACAAACAAAAAATGGTCAGAAGAAAATAAGTAGTGAAACCCTCATGTTAATCTCCAATTCGAAGAAATCTCAAGGTTGAATATGTATTTGTACTTAACATTTCTATTAAAAGTGTTTTTTTCTTTTTCTTTTCTTTTTTATTTTAGCATATTATGGGGGCACAAGTGTTAAGGTTACATATATTGCCCATGGACCCCCCCCCTCGAGTAAGAGCTTCAAGTGTGTCCATGCCCCAAACATTGCACATCTTACTCTTTTTTGTTTGTTTTGCTTTGCTTTTGATAGTTCCAAAAGAGGATACTATCACCAGAAAATGAGAACATGTGATAGTATAGATAGTGTCATTTTTATCAGCAGATAAAAAAGACAAAACTATATGTTTTTATACAATTATTTTTTTTTTATTTTGGCATATTATGGGGGTACAGATTTTAAGGTTTCAATAAATGCCCATTTCCCCCCCACCCCCCAAAAGTCTGAGTCTCCATCATGACCATCCCCCAGATGGTGCACATCTCACTCATTATGTATGTATATACCCGCCCCCCTCCCCCCTCCCACCTGCCCAATACCCTATTACTGTAGTACCTATGTGTCCACTTAGGTGCTACTCAGTTAATACCAGTTTGCTGGAGAATATATCTGGTGCTTGTTTTTCCATTCTTGGGATACTTCACTTAGTAGTATGGGTTCCAGCTCTAACCAGGAAAATATAAGATGTGCTATATCACCGTTGTTTCTTAGAGCTGAATAGTACTCCATGGTATACATATACCACATTTAAGTGTATATATCACCAATTTTTTCTCAGCCTATTCAGTGTTATATTCTGTCCAGAGGCATCCTCCATAGGAGATCTCTTGATGTCTCCTATGTACTGCTCTGAAGGAAAATTGTTTCCCAGTGGAATATTATTAAGTCAAACTGGGACAAGCTGAATATATGTAGAAAATGCGAGAAAATGGGACAAGCTGAATATAAGTAGAAAATGCTAAAAAAAAAATGACGTGAAAAATAAAGTCTCAACATGCTCAGTCAGTATTTTTTTTAAATTATGTCTGCTTTGTCTACAATTCCCTGTACTTTTTTGGAAGATTTCAAAGAGGATACTTAAATTCATGGTCTTTTCAATCTGAAAATTAGCATGCCATGCAATAGATAAAAAGTCATTTTCTTTCTTCACATGTGGCATATTCATACTGCTTTTGCTTGCAGTAAAAATTAGGATGAATACTTACCTTCCCATGTTTCATTTCAAATAATTTTCTATATATGATGATAAGTTCAGTATCCAAGGGCTATGGCAACCAGAGACTAGTGCATAGATTTGCCTTTATGTTTCAAATGCATAGATATAATGTTTCAAAGTCAGGAAATCCTTGAACTTTTATGTTTTCTGTTCACAGCAGTTAGATATACCTTTAAGGAATAAACTCATACAAGAATATCAGGACTGAAAAATGAAAAATAAATGGCACTGCATTCTATTTCTATAATAAGACAAACTTGTAAACAAACCAAATGAAGTTTGAAAAAATGATGATGCAAAACAATAGTGGAAAATGATGTATTTTTTTCATTCTTTTAGTAAAGTTTACAATATGTAAGGTTTTTGGTGTTGAAGATAAAATTGCAAATAGAGAGAGCACTTGTCCTCCTGGAAATTAGCATTATAATAACAGTGATATCTGAAAATATATAGGTACATATATTTACATGAGTTAAGATGCTAAGTATATTTTCATGCTTAAGGCAGAGTCACCTTGGGATCCTGTCTGTTTTACCATTTTGGTGCTTTGACTAAGCCATGGGTGTTTCTGTGTAAAGATAAATATCAACTAATAACACTATGTTTTCTGTCTTTAGAATTATGATGTTTGACATACAGGAAGTATACACAACAAAATGTTATAGTCATACAATTTTAGACATTTTTTATGCTTGTGTGTGTAGACATAATTTTAATCTGATAAAAAGGGCAAGTTCTGGCATAATAAGAATAACTTAAGTTAAAAGCTGTTCAAACTAAAAGTAAAGAAGGAAAATGGTATTAGAAATATAGAAGATAATTATAATATATAAGGGCTAGTGATTTAAATGCAGGCATGATGCCTGGAACAGTGGCAGCCATTTGTGATCATGGAGCAACTATCCTGAGGAAGAAGAACAAACATGGTGAAAACGGTGGAAATCAATAAACTCAGATTTGTTTAAGCTTCTGTTAGGTGTTTTTCTTATTTGCAGCTGATGGCATTCTTCAATGTGACAGCTAGCATGAGTGAAAAGGGAAGTTTGGGATTAAGGATTGTTCATACCGTGACATGAAGGTATGAGGGTAACATGCCTACTCTAATGCCATAGTTTGACCAAAAGAGAGAAACCTAAGTACTGATCCTGTGGGAGAGAACCAGACTAGAATGCAGAGATATGCAGCAGGCACAGAAAATGATGGGCAGGTATTGCATATGTGAGTGAAAGTGGTAATTTGCTGAGGTAAAGGTATTGTCAAAGGTTTAAGCAGAAGGGGAAAGGGTAAGTCCTATGGTAGTGGTAATTTCCAAATCCCCATTTCAACTCAGTGCTCTGCATACCCAGCCGTGTAGCTAGCTAATGAAGCTTTTCTTTCCCTTACGTGTATTCATTTCTTCCTGGTATTAATTCCTATGCAGCATTGATTGCATCAAGCAATAAACATTTGAGCAGTAAGCATTATTTTGTAACTTGGAAAGAGTAAAATTAATTAACACCTTTGGCATTTGAAGACTTTAAAACTTGCCTAAGGTCACCAAAAATGAGCACTCATGGGTCTTTATTAGCAACGTTTTGCTTAGTCCACAGGGTACCTGTAGGTCTATTTTTGTCAGAATTTTAAAGAGATAAATAATTTACGTTCTAATTATGGAAAGTTATTATTTCAGATAGTTATTAAAAATGGCCACAGGAAATATATCAACCTATGAAGTAAAACTGCACTCATTGATATAGAAAGATAGAAGCATTTTCTTTTTTCTTTTGGAAGAAATAAAAGGAAATGGTGGAGTTTAGGGAAGTAAGGTAAAGATGTAGATAAAAGATATAATTAAAACAAAAACTAAAACAGAAGAACTAGTATAGATCCCACAAATAGCATGCTGTATTCTAGAGAGAATTTTTGTAAAAAACAGCCATATGAAAAAGAAACCATAACAAACATCTCTTCAGTTCCTCCTTACAAAGCAAACATTGAATTCTTTCAGATTTTGTAAATTGCTTCAAGCCTCTAGCTTGAGTTCTTTTACAAGTATTAAGAATGTTGCAAATATAATACAATTCCTAATAGGATATATATTTAATGCAAAGTCGCTCTTTCAGGAATATTGCCAATGATTTTGCTTTTCCCTAGAAATGCAGCAAAGTAAAATCAATTCCAATTTCCGAGCTTATTATTGATTTTTCTTTGCTCTACATATAAACTTTCCTGTTAAGCACTCTCCAGAATGGTCAGGACTTAGTGAAGGAGGGAGCAATGTAATGTATATGTTCAAAAAGGCATTCCATAAGAATTTTAGACACAATGGCCATTTGAGAACAATGTACCTATCTTTGTAGGCACTACACTTTCCTCTCCTTTCAGTAAATTTAGCTAAAAGAGGTAGAGGTGGTATTAAATCCAAGGTAGGGTAGGATTCTAAAAAAGATATAACTCAGAGACAATTAATCAGAATTTAAAGAAAACAGCCCTTTGTTCTACAGCATCTGCCAACCTGAAATGGTCTATAGGTTGGTACTATTAATAGTTGCCTTCATGTGCTTGCCCTATTCATTAAAAAAAGAAGAAGGTTTTCATTTTATATAATTATAATTTGGAGAAAGTGACTTGAATCCCTTGCAATTTATAAAAGATGTGCATAGTGATTTTTTTTTTAAATTGTTGATCCTATTGTTATTTATAAATGTCAGGAAAATGCATATAAAAGCCAAAATTCAGAAACAGCAACTGATTAAATAAAATTTATTTCACCAAGTGAAATACTATGCATTGTTTAAAATATTTAATGTAGAGATCATTTATTGGTCAAGAAAGGTGTACAATATATTTTAAGTAAAAAAATCAAGTATTCATCAGCAATATTTCATTTTTATTAAAGAAAGTTTGTGGTTGGGGAGTTTCTGTATCTGTTAGGTACACAGGGAAAAATGTGTAGAATGATATACAGCAATTGTAATAATACTATCTTTTTATTGTATGATTTTTTCAAGAAGATTTTAATTTTCTTCTGTGTCTTTTATTTTTCACTTTGATAAGAGAAACAAAAATGTTATTTTAAAAAATGATATTATAGAACTTTAAATTCAGGGAAAAATTTAAAGTTTATTCAGTCCCATCTTCTACCTAGTATTAGAAAGCCTCCTTCCATATTCCTATCATAACTCACCTCCTAGGCAAATGCCTCCAGGCAAGTGTGGCTCACTTAATCTCTATTCAGGATAAATAGAAAGCTTCCTTTATGGGAAATGTCTTTTTTTTTTTTTTTTTTTGATTCAGGTGTCTCTACTTGTAACTTCTCTTTGACTCTCCTTGTTTTCCATTAGATGGGTTTAACAGGCTTATTAGTTCTTTTAGAAAGCAGTCTTCCCAATACTTAAAGGACTTCTTTGAAGTCCATCTCCTCCCTTTTCCATGACCCGTTAATCTCAGCAGAGACAGACAGATGATGCAAGGGTGTAAAGAACTCTGGAGATCAATCATGCTTCTTTGCTGCCTGAGTAGACCACCTATTTCCTGGAGGAAGATGCCAGGTGACCCTCTTATAAACACTTCATTCTTACAAGCAGGGCTGCTATGGGTTTCTTCCCGAGGCTGGGCTCTGAGGGAGGGTGGTAAAGCAACTTCTATGAAGGAAGATAAAAACATGTGCCCTTCCTCCTGGTCTGATAATAAGGAATTCTGCCTTACCTTATGTGATCTTGTTACAATTTGGAAGTGGCCAGATATTTGATGCATTCACAGTGAAAGCAGAAGAATAGAAAGGCAAATTAGATGTAGCAAAGTTAAAGACAATATTTGGAGAAAAATAAAAAATTATGTAACCTGCAATTCATCACATGTATTTTAAATATTCCCATTACCAGACTGTCAGCTGCTTGAGCACTTTTAAGGCTAAAGTCTTTCTTTGGGTTATTCATAGTACCTGAGCCATTGCGCTTAGTAATGCTTAGTGATATTTCCCACTATTAACTGCATGTTATGTTATTCAAATATAAATATCCATAGTCACACACACATAGACTCTCACAATTAGAATCACATGTGCACTAACTCTCTTGAAACAGGCCTATCAGAAATTTTACATGCTAAAAAATATCCACATTGTAAAACAAACAACCCATAATTATACTGCTCAGTTGAAATGTATAAAGAACATGTATGAATAAATTTATAAATTATTCTATTGTTTTGAATATGGACTGACTTTATTATGGCATAATTAGTAAATTTTCTTAGAAATTAATTAAAAATAAATTCCCATACTCTCTATAAAGAATAAAATGAGCATTCACTGGTTAAGGTCGGGTTTCTCAAATACTTGGTAGTCTTAGGCTAGAATCTAGATGCAAGCATTGGCTTCAAATTGTACCCAGAATCTTTCTGGCTAAGGAAAATATAAAAATGTAAGAACAGATTCCAATTTAGCAGAAAATAAGGAGTGAGAAAAACTTAGATCCTTTGGGAAATATTAACTCATGCACATTATAAAAGTAGGTAATAATTCAAAATGCTATTTTCTAGGATCCTAAAATCTCCCACAGAGGCTCTATTTATTTGGGCTTTCAAAATAGCTCAGCACAGGATACAGCATGAAATGCATTTGGGCCACAGGGTACATAGAAGCATCACAGTGATTCAGCAGTCAGTCACAGTTTTTTGTCCCATGGGTCATGGATCAGTCTATTCAAAATCCTGAGAGGGAAAATTCTTGTCAAGTTATATAGGATGACAATTCTTCCCTCACTTAGCAGGAGGAGGAGGGCAGTTCCCTGCAGTCTGTTTTAGTCCTGCTACTCACTGGTCACCCAGGGACATCAATGGCTTAGATTTTTGATGGTAACCAGGGAGAGTTGGTGTCACTCAGCCAGGTACCTCAAAGCAGAACAGAAATGTGACAGAACCATTGTTGGTTCAGCAACTCAGCCTCATGCCTGAGTGCAAAGCTTGAGCCCAAGGAAAAGTTGAATCCAAACAGGACAGAACTACGCAAGGATAGATAAAGGATAAGAGAGAAAAAAGTACACAAAGATGGAGAAATACATATATTTTTGTGCAGAACTCTGTAGCAACACTTAGATCTGCCTCCTTCCCTCTTTTAACTGAGACTATTTAGTAGTTTAGTCTGCTCATGTGATTTTTAATTTCAATTACTATACACATCATTTCTAGAAGAGCTATGTTGTTATTTTCCCAAATCTGGTTATTATTATTTGTTTCTGTAATAACTTGTTTTCTGGCCACATTGCCATTCTTTACTTCTCTAAGCATGTTAAGCATAGTTATTTTATACTTTGTGTCTGATAATTCTAGTATCTGAAGTCCCTTTGGGTCTGTTTCAGCTATGTGTTGTTCTGTTGGTTCTCTATCTTAGGGCCTTGTTTTGTGATTTTTTTGACTGTAAGTGAAGCATTTTCTTTTGAACCTTATTCATGGGACTTTGTTGAGATGTGAGTTGAAGTTGAGTTCCTCAGAGAGACTCTGTGCTCAGTCAATTTCTAGAACAACTTTTGATCCAGAGTTACTTGTAATTTAAATTATTAACTTGAAGCTGTTTAGTCCACTCTGGTTATGGGAATTTGGAACACAGCCCATGAAAGACACCCACTGTTATGAATTCTCAATATAGGTCTCCTCAACACAGCTGAAAGCCACCGCAGACAGTCTCCACTTGGCAGGGTTTAGTTCAACTTACAGTGAGCATATAGTGTACTAGTACCTACGCAGGATTCTGTCTTTAGATGCCCAATTATGCCAGCTCCTGGTCTTTATTTTCTCCCTTCTTTACCCAACCTAGCCATTGGAAGGGAAGACTAATTCATCTCCCAGAATTCTTAATCTTACATCATATATTTTTTTTTCAATTTCGAATTTTCCTTATTTTTTGTGCCAGCTCAGCTCAGCATTTTAATTGTTTCAAACAAGAAGGTAATTCAGTGTATCTATTCCACCAAACTGACAGAGAGAGAAGTTATTATTGCCTGAAAAAGGTTCATGCCCTGACATACTTCCTCTATGGACCATGTTTATAATCAGTCTCATTCCAGAACCTTGTACAGACCTGACCCAGGGTAGGGCTAAATAAAACTACGGATGAGCAGAACAAATGCTCCTCATTCCATTCCTCCCTGTGGACTCTGGCCACAAATACATCGGCTTCTTTTGGTTCTTGCTATCTGGCATGCTCATTTCCACATCAGGACATTTGCCAGACCGAGACCATTGCTTCTTCACCTCTCACCTTCACTAATTCCAATCCAAAGATCTCTTTCTTAAGAAGCCTTTCCAATGTGTAGACAAGGTCAGGTCTACCTAGTTTACATTTAGGTAACACTCTGTCCTTCTCCTTCATGCTGTTACCACAATTATAAAGAAATGATTAACCTGGGAATTGTGTAATGTGATTCTCCCAAGCCAGAATGGAAGCTCATGGGGAAAGGAAAGATCCCCAGTGCCAGGCATATAGTAGGCCTTTGTGAATTCTTTGTTGAATGAGCACATAAATGGATAATTGAGAGACATCATATAATACTAAAAAAAGAAGAATTGAACAAGAACCTCTTCCTTACCTTTTACCTTAAATGTATAATAAATAAATATTTAAATATTGTAAATATTTAAATATATTATAAATAAATACTATAAGTAAATATTATAAATATTTAAATATATCATAAATACATATTTTATATAAATATAAACATAAATATTTAAATATGAGTTATATTATTTATATATGAAAATATAAATAATATAATAAATGTATAATAAAATTTGGAATTTAGGAAGGCAGCCAGAAGTTGTGTTTCTGTTCAGGCCCCATATGTTATATCACTTAACACTCTCAATTGTTTAAAATATAGAACAACACTTATTTTAACTCCTTTATATAATTTAAGCTTTTTATCCTTCCAAATTTATTTTAAATAAGACATTACAAGTTTAAAATATTTAATTATTTATAATAACATTAATATTTCTATAGGGCATTACAAAATAAAGATAATATAAAAGACAACTGTTGTACATATAAACAAGGGAACATACCAAAACACTAGCACCAGTAATCAAATACTTATTTTCCCACTCACTGAATTGTATCATTTTGAGAGTCAAATAAACCTTTATGACAATTTCACTTGATAGATTCCCATTTTATTCAAGCATGGAATAAAACTTTAAGGAAAGAAAATTCAATAAAATAAAATAATGCTGTCAAGAAATATTGTATTTATTCTAGATTCCTTTAATGATATTCTCTTTATGATATGACAAAAAGAAGAAACTCACCTTGAAGATATTTGGAATAAATTTATGCTAAAACCTAAAGCAATAGCTGAATATTCCATAATAAGGTTACCATAATCACCTCAACTAGAATATTCTGTAATTATGTTTAACTCCATATAATTACATGACAAAAGGGCTTTTTGTTTCTTATTTTTCTTGTGAGGAGCAAAGTCAAAAACTAACACAAAGCAAAGCCCCCAAACCAAACTACTTAGGTTTACTTTTAAAATAGAATTAAAAAGAGAATTTTAACAAAGCCAGAAATGAATCTGCAAATTTTTGTGACATTGTCATACTAAGGAATTGTTAAAATTTTCTTCATAAAAAAACTGAAAATAAACAAGCAGGACCACTTATTTGTTTAAAAAATAAGATAACTTTCTGTAGCCAGAGAATCCAAAGTATGCGTGATTTTTAATGATAGGGATTTTAAATAGCCACAACCAAAACTCACTTCCCAGGGTCAGCAAATTACTTGGCCTTTTTTTTTTTTTTTTTCCTTGTTTAGGAGAGACAGAAGAGGGAGGATCCAAAAAAAAATAATAATAATAATAAAGGGCAAGCTGGAATTTTAGCTAAATCAAATAGGGGAGATTTAACCAAGAAAATAATGAGTAATATTTTGGAACCACTTCACCATGTATAAACTATAAACTACTTACAGGAGATGTTGTCATCTGATTCACACAACAATCACATGGGATGATTAAGGGAAAGCACTAGTTTATCTTTTATAAATGAGGCATGTCATAGAGCTAATCCCTCCTTCTCAAGATCAAAAAGCCTACAGGCAGCAAATCAAGACTGGAAGCCATGTCTTCTTACCACAAATTAGCTGCTTCTCTCGTTATGCTGGGCAAATGAACTTTTGTCCAAGAAAATGAACTACTCCAGCATAGCACGGGAAGATACGGTTCTGCAACAGAAATGAAGAAAACATAGCACACTATCAGAGTATTAATATAATGCTAATTAAATAGTGCACTAGGTCAGCAGAAACAGAGTAGTGTGAAGAAGGTGATCATCCACTTTTAGTATGTATCGTTCAGACCACATAAGACTATTGTGTCAAGTTCTGAGACCTCTGCTTTAGAAAAATGATAGCTCAAGGGTCACCATCATTAGCAGGCCTAGTCAAATCTAACCCACACATTTTATTTGCTCAGCCAGAAGAGTAATGAAAAATTGGAAACACGCATGCCATAAGGCAGTGCGGGCATTGTCCAGTTTTCCATGAGCCTCACCACTCTCTAGGGTCTCACTTGCAGCCACTGTATACATTTCTATTTCTCCACCCATTGCAAAGATCTGATATTCCAGAGTACTAATAGATATAAACTAAATATTTTTTCAAAAGGAGTGGCTAGTTCGTAATGGAACAACTATGTCATCTGTAAAATGGTTGAAGAACTGGGTAAATCTAATGGAAGAAAGATATAGCATGATTACGTGATGAAATTAAATGAAACTTGATGGCAGGTTTCATTGTGTCATTCATTATTCTGCTTATAATCATCTAAAGATTACTCATGCCTACAGGACAAAGGCCAAATGTCCTGCAAGTCCAGTAAATAAGCTTTATCCCCTACAATCTGACCCCCCATGAACTCATTTTCTCTCAAAGAAGCAACCTGCAATTAACCACTTTGAATCAGATATTCTCATCACTACATATTCTTACTCAGACTAGTTTATCTGATTTTAATATTATTGCTCATCTTTTGGCCCAAATAAATCATCTTCTCTTTGCAATTCAGCTTAAGCATCCCTTGTTCTCAGAAGCCCTCTGACCTCCCATGCAAAACTCAGTGCTGCCAGCTCAAGCTCAGAATATATTTCCATTGTGGTTCACATTACCTTCTCCCATGAGACCTTTCAGAGATTATGTCTCCATCACCTTTAACCTCTTAGTCCTTAATGCTGTGCCTGGTATATAGAAGGTGCTCAATTAATGTCTATCAAATGGTACCGATACCTCCTTTTGAATATTTGAGCACCTGGTGGATGGAAGAAAAATTAGGATGACCCTATGCGACTGAGGACAAGATCTAGGACCAGAGAGTGGAACTTGCAGGAGTATAGATTTCTGTTAATGAGAGGACATTTTTTTCAAGAAATTGGAGCTCTCTCAAAGATGAAAAGGTCTACCTGGGTGAATAAGTGAAGAGGGCAACCAAGACGTGCTAAGACAGCCCTCAGCAAGGGGCAAGGACCGAGTGTAGTCCTGAGAAGTGAGTGGGTTCAGTGGGCCTTTAAGTCCCCTTCAATCCTGAGGCCAGTGATTCTCTCACTGTGTGACTGACTGCCCATGTGCACTGGCTGCTGTGCACAGAAGCACCATGCTAAAAGTCCTGGGGACATAGTGTCCTCGCTGGGGCTGGGAGTGGGAGGGAATTCTATATCAATCAATTGGATCTTAAGGGAAAATAAAATAAGAAGGGCCAATCTGATAATTAGTGTGGTTCTGATGACTCTTGCTGAGGTTTTCAGAATGTTCCTAAATCATTAGTAGTTTTTTGCACAGATGTACTGCCAGGCAATATAATGTCCTCAGGTTCACAACCAGAAATAGAACCCACGTGCCTTCTCCTATTGAAGGATAGACATTATGCTCTTTAAAGGCTCCAGAAGTCTGGGCACCTTGAATTAAAATTCATGAATAAAGACCAAAAATAAATATGTTCAGCAATCTGGAGAGAAAATATATTTAGAAAACAAATATTTTTTTCTTCCCTTTTTGACTTACCACAAACTAAGCTTCTCTCCTTTTCTCTTTCTTTCTCTCTCTCTCCTCCCTCTACCCCCTTCTCTATTCTCTTTCTTTTTGCCTAAATACTTATCAAACTTGAGTCCTCTGTCTTCTTTCCTTCCTCTTTCTCTAATTCTCTCCGTCTGTCTTCTATCTCTACCTATCTATCCATCTGTATCCATTTAATTTGTTGTGCTATTCTTTAATGTTATCTTTCTTTCCTCTACTTAGGTGTAGAAAGATTCTTTGCATTCATTTCAAATTTCACTGGATTTACAGAGACAGGACAATGCTTAAAACTGTTTCGTCTAATAACCAGTCACGAAGGTTCTACCCAGTGATCATCCAAATGGATAAATGGAGAGATTTTTAATTCTTGCTTCACACAGCACTCTGAGTTTCTAAAGGTCCAAAAGAAGGTTATATATCTACAACTTATGGAAATGAAAGTTTTCAAAGACTAGTGAATACAGATGTAAGGTGAAAGGATAACCCAATGGCAATTAAAATGCACAAATGTTGACACGTGGCACTTTACAAGGGAATTCTTTTCAGAAGAGATCGCATGCCTTTTCTGTGAAGCAATCACCGTGGACTGTTTAGTGTGTAGGCACTGGGACCAGACTGTTCAGTTCATATACAAGATTTAGAACAATAGCAGCTGTGTTTTTGTGAGACTCTTCTTCAATTTTTTACCTTTGTTTTCACATGTATAATAATAATGGTGGTTTTTTTTTTTTTTTTTGTAAGGATTAATCCCTGTGAAATTAATCCCTGTGAAATGCCCAGATACCCCAAGTGTTTAGAAAATGTTTTTAGAAAACTTGTTTGAAGTTTGTTACTGAGTCCAGATGACCTCCAAGATGTTAAATTCACTTCAATCTGGATAATACAATAAATCTCAAACCTGGCTGTATGTTTAAGTGACAACAATTGATCATAAGAACTGTATGACATTATAAATGAATCAGTACAAAATTATACTTATGCAGAAAAGCTCAAATAGTCATAAAAGATATTTACTTATTCATTCATAACTCATATGTATTTATTGATCTCCGTCTAGGCATTAATGATTAATAAGAAGGCCAGCTCTTTCCCAGAAGAACTGATGGAATGCAAAGTTAATGTTTCCTTTGGCAACTGTGGGAGAAAACAAGTAAACAAGAACCAGCTTGTGACTTTATTTAAAAAATATGTTTCCAGATATGGTGCCCGCAAACAGTTGTCACTGCACATTACTCAGTATTTTTGTTTCCTTGAGTAAAAGCAAGCTGATTCTACACCACATAAACCAAGTGTCTTCTGAATAGTCAAACTCTAAGTGATACAGGCAAAATAGACACAAACAAGGGTCTGAAGAAACACTTTTATTATCCACACATAGCTAAATATTTGTGTGTGTGTGTGTGTGTGTGTGTGTGAGAGAGAGAGAGAGAGAGAGAGAGAGAGAGAAAGAAAGAGAGAAAGAGAGAGACAGGACCATAAGTAAATGTGACACATAAGATCCAATGTCTCTTTCTCTCTCTCTCTCACACACACACACACACACAAATAAATAAAACCTGTTTGCCATGAGAAAAGAGCAATCATTTATTACATCTTACTTTTCTCAAGAATTACGAGATTTAGACTGGAAATATTCTATTGAAAAATACCTTTCTTTTCAATGAACATTTCCATTTAAGAAAAATTTATTTTATTAATAATCAGTTAGTATTAAGAAGCTTCCATTCTATGACTACCATGAGTAATTCCAGTTATTCCCAGTAATGGCAGAGATTCTTTTTTACTTTCATGTTCTTTTGATTTAGGGAAAGTTTTCAAATCTAATTTTAATTTATTAAAATCTGGAAGTTTCCACCCTCCAATTTTCATCAGAGATGCCTTTCATTCTTGACTCTGCTCCCTTCTTATGAATCTTCACTTCCCTTTGGCTTAGATGGTTGATAAATTATCCTAATGATGCTATCCGTGTTAAATCTAATGACCTGTCTAAAGGAATTAGAGATGTATTTTACAAAGTGAGATGTATGACTACCAAAACAGAAATAAGAGAAATCCTATCTGAAATGACAGTTTGGGGCTGGAGTAAGAGTGATTTTTTTTTTTTTAATTTGCTAAAATTATACCATCTGACCAATGGTCACAGTAAATATCAAAGATGATCTTCAGCATGTTTATAAACTCTTGGTAGAAATAGTATACAAAAAGCATAGCTTTAAGAAATGCCAAACAAAAGACATAAGTATTTCATTTAATTTTACACAAAATTTAAAATTAGATTTTTTTTTATACAGGATATATAGAAATTTAGAAAATGGCTCAGAGTTTAAATGTACTGAATAATGCTTTTTTTTAAAAAAAAAGCTATTTTATCTGATAGTTGCATGAAGGATTTTTTCCTATTCTGAGAAGTTCCTGATGGTTGTTTCTATTGCTTGTTTCAAAACTGGACCACGCAGAGTTCCATCTATTGTGTTAAAGTTTATGAATACTTTTAAGGCTTTTGATTGTCAAGTTTCCCTCCCCCAAACTGATCAAGTTATAGTTTAGTTTGAAAGTGACAATTTATTGCATCCTCACAGCACTGGGTAATACTATTTAAAAACTTTATATAATTTTTGAAAACTAAAAAACCATATATTATTTTGCTTTAATTAGCATTTTATTATATCTGAAGTGAAAAACATCCTCATTCATAGTTGTTCTTCCTAAATGAAGTCTTCATTTTTTGTACATTTTTTGAATAGGGCACCCATATTTTTATTACTTTGTTCTAATATTTTCATTTATTGAGAATATGGGCACCTCTATCTAATTGGTTGCAACCATTTTTTCCACTTTCTAATGATTTTAAAATCCATGTTTTAGCTTTAAGAGACCTTTTTTTTCTGATTATGAAAGTAGAGAATGTGCATAATAAAATATAAAAGAAATAAAACTCACTATAATTTCACCATGCAGAGATAAATGCTTTAAATATTTTGAGTATTTCTTATATTTTTATCTGTTTTCCATTTGTTCATATTTTGCTAGAAATTTCCATGGGAATCTGAGAGGAGGAAAATTAGGCAATTATTCTTGCAAAACATCTCGACCAGAAAAGTCTCATTACCTTATCTATTTTTAGGAATGATGATATTTAAAAATAAGAACACAAT